TCTTTTTTTTTCCCCTTTGTTGGGGGGGGGGGGAATTCCCCCCCCCCCCCCCCCCCACCAATGAATGTGTGTGACTTGGTGGTCTGCGTATGTACAATTACGATGGGATAGGATTAATTAAAGAAAATTCTTTTACTTACCTTGAAATTAGAAAATTCCTGTTTCCTATTGACTTTTGTAATATCGTATTAATTCAAATAAACGCCCCGCTTTGAATAAAGAGTCTTCACCCCTCCAATAAACTGCCCCTCCGAAGCCCTATTTGGAAAAAACTCCTCCCTCAAATAAACGCTCCGGGGCGTTTATTTTTTCCTCGAAATAAACGCCCCCATAAATGACTTTAAACAAAAATAATGGAAGCAACATCATTCTTAACACACAATGCTCTACTCCAGTAGAATTACATCTTTTTAAACCTGGTTGGGATCAATTTTGACGGTAATAATGTGTTGTAGTTCCACATTTACAGTGAAATTAAGAGGCGTTCATTTAAGTATATAGGCCCCTACGTATCTCTTTTACACCAAAAAATAAACATCTCCTTAGAATAAACCCTTCTCAACAATAAACGCTCGGGGCGTTTATTTATATGTAAATACGGTATTTAAGTAAATTTCTGAGTAAATTGTTTGAAATTGCAAGCATTGGTTTTCGAATTTATTTGCAGGTTGTAGCAGTAATCTTGCTTCAGACTTCCTCTCTTCTTCACCACATTCCTCTTCCACAGGAACAGTAAGTGACCTACAGTACTTATTAGGCGCGGCACTTTACGCAATATAGGACGGGAAGGAGATGGGTGGACGTGGTTTTGTGCTCATCAGAGCGTGAAGGCCACAGTAAACAATGGGCGCTTAACCAGAATCGCCGTTGTCGACGGCTCCCCGTCCCCTTTCGTAAAGTGCCATTTTACGCAATTGTAATATAGTTTTTATGGTTTTTTTTTTCTTTTCATTTTTAATTTGATATTGCAACTTGTTCTCATGGTATTGTTTTTAAATTGGAATAAATTCGTATTGATTGATTGATTCGTTCATACTTTAGTCAACTGACAAGACACAATTCTCCTTTATGGCATTATTGCTTGATTTGTAGGCAACACAAAAGAGGCTTATGTATAATTTTTGAAATTGAAAGTTGAATTGAAACGTTTACGAACGCCCTCTGGCGAGAATTTGCGAGGCTACGAATAACAGAAATAATGGAACGCGGTGATAAGTTGGTTATGCGAGTGAAAAGAGAGGAATACAGAAAAACGACCTGTATCTCTCGTTTTTCTGTTACATTTACGCCGCCAAACATTGTAATTATTATAATCAGGCCAAAATAAAAATGCTTAAACATTTTTGTGACGTCACTTTGATGACGTAAGCATTCCCATTGTCATGGTTTGTGATTCATGATAATAATTTATTTCATCAAAAAATTAAAATCTTGATTGAAAACTTTTTGCAAATCAAATCCTTAGCAAAAAGAGCATGGAGAAAGAGATGTGATTTTTTTTTTATTAATTTGACTTTGTGTTGTGTAAATGTGTTTTGTACAATACTATATAGGTATGAGATACCATAATATATGTACACGTGCAGTATGATGTACTGTTACTGTAGTTCCGTTGCCTCTGGATGTTTAATTATAAAGGCAACCGTAATACTGGTACTTTCTCCAACGGAGAATGAGTGTGACGTCAAACATGGCTATCGACTGCGCGCTCAACACAATCTCAGCAACAAATCGTGCATCTGGGTCTAGTTTCCATTAGTACGATGGAGGGTATCTCAGTTCCACAGGTTCCGAGACCTTTTTCACAACATCTCGGTGGAATCTGATTTTGATATTTAACAATTGTGTTCTTTCGTCTTTTCAGACAACTAAGGACTCTCACTCAAATGAATCTAATGATGATCAACCGAAAAAACATGTAAAACGGAAATCAAGAAGCCACCATAGGTTGTCGACGGCTTCCATTCTTTTGTGTTCCAACTCTGATAGCAGTTCTAGTACTGAGGTTGCACCCCACCATACTAATCTTTCTGCGTGTAATATTGAATACAGCCAGTCTACAATCGATACATTTGATGATGGTCTGAAGACAAACGAATCATCTGACTCGTCCGCTTATTTTGGTTCGTCACTAGGTAAACGACAGAGTGCGCACTCATCGCTGTCTTCTAAACATAACAAAAATCAATTAGGAAAAATATATAATAGACTTGCTCTGGACGATTGCATCCCAGCCGAGAAAACAAAAGCAAAGAAGCGTAGATTTTCCACAGTGATATTTTCTAGCACAAGTGGTATTATATCGGATCAGGACCGAGAACGTAAACGTAAGCGATTTGGTCGGACTTTCCATGCACTGCGTAAATGCGGTCTTCTGAACCTCACACTACAGACAGCTGCCTTGATGGAGCACAATTCAATTTTAAATAAACAATTAAAAGACCTTAAAGAGGAATCCAACAATATGTATAAGTCATTGATGAAATTTTCTACGATGCAGCCAAACAGCGGGCAGACAGAAGAAGTTTTGAAATTAATGGACAGTTTAAAATCAATCGTGCAAAATAAGGATAATTAAAGGAAGTGAGTACACTCAATGGCTGTGTTAAACGTGGCTAAACTGGTCTGAGATAATGGGGCTTTCCGTTAAGTTCCACCCCTTGAATATTGTTGCTACACGCAACATGCGCGTATTCCTGGTCGCATTCTGGTTGGTCAGTTGTTAAGTTTGATTGATAGTTCATTATTAACATATTATTCCAAAGATATCTCGCCAATCATAAACATTAAAACAGAAAAACCTGTTGAATTTTAAAATTTAGAAGCTATATATACTTTTTTTGCTTTTAATTTCCAACACAAGACCGACAAAGTCATGGACTTGGTTCCTTCTGTCTGATAACCCTACTTTTTTAGGTATGAGAAAGTTAAACTCATATTTCTATGGAGAAAATAAATATGTTGTTATTATAATTGCAGTACGTATGTATTGAGAGCCATCATTTTGGGTCATAAAAACATTTTTTTGGAAGCAATACAATTCATGTACTCATGCGTAACATTCATATCTAACTGATTCCTGATTGGTTGCAACATGGTTGCCAACCGTCCTTGCATATTTTATCACTGTGTTTCACTCCCTTCGTTTACACTGATATACATAGTAATTATTGTTTATAATATATTTTATTTTTTATATACAGAAGGCCAGACATTAGTATTGGTTGGTACATGCTTCGGAATCCCCTCCCCTTGTTTTTTCCAACTTAATGATAAATAACACAATTGTAAACGTACATTATATTGTATTAAAATTATATTTAAAAAAAAACATTAACCGATTATACAATAATCTTCACACCATCTTCTGTCTCAATATTTTGAAGATCGTTTTAGTCTCAAGACCGTCACCCAGCGCTTGAGAAAACACGTTGATGCAAACGCAAGTTCACTCGTTTGCGTCAACAAATCAAAATTGTCCTCTTTGTTCATAACTTGTTCATAAGTAACACCATCATGCCAGATTCATTGTGCGTGTGCGTCATCGTACGCACGAGCTTTGGTGATATGCGACAAAACGACATCGTTGGCTACCAATTTGATAACGGTTGCATCACATTTAATGTATCCATATCTGCCAAGATATTTGCTCCCTGCAAAAAGGGCCGATTATTATTATTATTTCCACAAGTGCAAGAAATATAATATTATTTCTAGATTAGAATTGTGTGTGCTCAATCGATACAACATTATGCTTATAAAATATGGTACATAACCCGTTAGGCCTAATAGTATGTTAGGTTTGACAGGGTTGGTATGTCTGTCGTTTTCCCTCGTTAAATGGACGCTAAGCGAAGCCCCTTATTGGTCTCATCACAAAACGACAACGTAAACGCGGGTGTCTGTGGAACATCCGCGTATTGCTGGCTCTGTTCTGATTGGTCAGTTAACATTCCAGAATAGTTCACTGTGATGTCCAGTCCAAGTCTAGTCCAACTAAATTATCGTGCTGCTCGTGATTTATTTTTAAATGATTTATAGGGTCCTAAGGTCTTTCTTTTTTTCTTTTTTTTTTCTTTTTTTTTCTGGTGGGTAAAGACTACAAAAATAGGAGTATAATAACTTAGTAATGTATTATTCTATACTTCTTCATTACCACAAATACAATATCTATTAATACTTAATAAGATGAAGGTCTATGTGTACATTACGTAATGGATGGGCGGTGAAGTTATGTTACTATTATACTGTACAGTATTATTCTAGTAAAAAAAAAAAAAAAAAAAAAAAGAAACCTTTTGTTTGTCGATGCTCCGTCTTTGTAATGTCGGATTTTTAGCAATATCCTTTGGACACGTTTTAGGAACCTTTAACTCCTTGTTGGTTCGTGGCTGCGATAATTTTTCGAAGTTCTTGAATTTTCCAATCTGAATGACAGGACCTATAGAGAAAAAATTTTGTTTCAATATTTACGGTTTGCTTTCTTTGATTCTGTAGAAATTATTTCTAACATTTTTTTATATAATATTACGTAATATTGTGTAAAGCCTGGTTTCCATAAAATATCGTTACACGCCGCCGCTATCGCCGACTCCTTTGGCGACGATAATTGGTCAGTTGAATCAGGGAGCGTTCGCAGTGCAAAGATTGCAGTGAAAATGCTGTAGCGATTGTGTAGCGATGTAATAGAAACTGGGTGTAAGTAGTTATACTGCAGCTGTAAACCTCTGTCCCACACAATCAAATAATTGTGATACGCCGATATTTGGGTGTAAAATGATATATCATCATGTCCATATATGGGCACATCACACAAATTTGTGACATAAAATGTGATAGTGTGGATAGAGGTCATTAATAAACTTTCTACTGATAGAAACATATACGTACTAAATTCATTATTATACGGTCTACCTGAATTACTGATACATAAATTGACTCGCATACAGAATACTGCTGCCAGAATAGTTACGCGTTCGAAGAAAACGAACCATGTCACACCTATGCTGAAATCTTTACATTGGCTACCAATTAAAGAGCGTATTGCATTTAAAATTCTCCTCCTTGCCTATCGCAGTTCAATTGGTAAGGCACCAATCTACTTGTCCAAATTTAATACCTCCTTACATCCCTGGCAGGGACTCTTCGTTCCAATGACTTTGCGACTAGTCAATTCAAGAGGAGCAATAAGAGATTTTGGAGTACACGCACATTTGTGTCGGCGCGGCAGCACCTGATTTATGGAACCATTTACCTGAACCTATCAAGATGTCATTGTCTCTCGATTGCTTTAAAAAGGCACTAAAAAAGCATCTTTTCATCTCTTAGTCTTTTGTCCATTTGGTGTTTTCGTGTCGTCTCCGGACTCCTCTTTGGTGGCCAGTGTGGGGCTCTCTTTCTTTTTTATCGAGACAACGTCGCTGTCTTTGCAGTGCACGGTAGTGGAGCTAAGGGCTTATCCCAAGGTGGAAGGTACCGGAGCCCAGCATACTGCCTAACGTGTGCCTGCGTGCACACGGATGTGATAAATACGCTGTTTCGATATTAGATGGTGGAGTCCCATTCTGGTCACCTTTCGGTTTTTTCTGTGCCAATTGTCACTATTATTTTTGGTTTCGCGTTTCTTATTTAAGTTTTTATTTTAATTTTTATTAATCTTGGGCTATATTTCAGACATGTTAATGCGCCATGAGCGTCTGCGACGGATACCGGCGCATTATAAATGTCCGTTTATTATTACCTATGAAGTGCGTCATATAAAACGAGACTGCGCACCTCATAACAGCCAATCGAATAGTGCCAAAAAATCTGACAAAAAGGTCGGTAAAAGCCGGGCACTTACAGCGTCGTTCGACCGTCGGCCGACGGATCCAACTCCGCTCCCTGTGAGAGCTACACGACGGGACGCCGCCTACGGAGTGTCGGTGGAAGTCTTAACGGATCGTCATTAAAAACGATCCGTTGGGCTCTCGCCGTGGCGTTGCATTTTCTAGATAATCGCGTCGGCCTCGACCGTTGAGCGCAGTGAGCTGAGGTTCCGGCTTTAGAAAGCGCTTCTAAGCTTAAGCAACGCGCAAACTTACTTGGTGGAATGGTATTATAATTAATGAGATGAAATAGTTCCGAAGTCGGCAAGCAACCCTCCTTGGTAACGGACAGTTGTTGCTCTCCGAGTATCCCGGATCGATTTAATTGAATCTCCCAATCGGTTACTTCAATGTCCTCCAATATGTGGTAATCTTCCAAAAACTCCGCATTATCTATAAAATAAGATTAAAAAGAAAATTAGACATGCTTTGGCCTTATTCTTTGCAGTGGCGGGTGCAAGAGAATGAGAAATGTTATTCCAACATAATGACAGAAAAATTCTTAGATTCACACCCACCTCGCTCCAACTCCAACTGAACTATTTTTTTCTGTTTTTTTAATCATCCTATATGCTTCATATCTATTTTATTATGGCATACGCATCGTATATTAAATACCAATTTTACTTATGTTTAAGTTAACGTAGTGATATGTTGAGGGTGAAAAATGTTGTTGAATCTCTGGTTCCATTTCTGCTGCAGGAGGCGTTGCTGCCGTTTCGAAATAGATTAAAATTGTGTAGGCTACATAATCCAGTAATTAATAATAATAGACCTAAAAACGAAGTTTAAGAAGCACAAGCTATGAATTTTATACCCAGACAAACGTAACCAAGAAAAAACTTGAAAGCTGTAGTCTACAAATATTACATTACAACAAAAGATAGAACATTATGCAGATGAACATAGTACTGATTGCAATTAAAATAAAAGTTAATGGACCCTTCCGCTAGCCCCGCCCTTTCAGTATTGTTGTTTAGCCTGTTTTCCACTAGGCGAATTTATTTGCGCGATTCGAAAGCGTCGGTTCATGCGCATGCGCATTCACATGCCTTTTGCGAAGCGAAAAAATGCGCAACTAATCAGAGCTCTGGAAGCGAACCGACGCTTTGATTCGCCTAGTTGAAAACCAGCTTTAAGGTTCCACAAAACAATGGCATAAACGTACCCTACGTAAACACGTGTGTTCTGGTCAACGCAAGTGTGTGTAAGGCACGCGCGTTTTCTGTTTTGTCAACTGTTGGGTTTGATTGACACTTCGGGTCTATGATTGATATCCATATTATTATTATTATTATTATTATTATTATTATTATTATTATTATTATTATTATTATTATTATTATTATTATTATTATTATTATTATTATTTATTTATTTATTTATTATTATTATTATTATTATTATTATTATTATTATTATTATTATTATTGATAACTACTTAGGTCGTTACCTGGAATACAGCGCAGTGGATCGGGCGCAGTCAATTCCCGTATCGTACAATTTGGAGAATTGTCCCCGAAAACCCATTCCAATTTCTGAAATTAATTAATTCATTCAATTAAATAGGATACACATATAAATATACTCAGAAGTTTTATTATTGCAAGCAGGAAGAGAACTACCTTTATATTTAATAAAATTGTATTATTTAGAAAACAGTGTACTGTAATATAATAGGTCAACCTTGTTATAATTGCGGAGTCGGTTCACGTAGGTGGTAGTCCCGGTTGCAACGTCGAAAGTACCAGTCCTCAACAAGGCGCGTGGCTTAATGAAGTCGTATGTGATACTGAGGTTGGTTGGATGAAAGCCTAAAAAACCGTCTGCCTGAATGAATATGAAATCCAAGTCTGAAAAGATACACATAATTAAAAATTTTAAAACGAAAATGTTCATAGAGTCAGGACTTAAGCTATTCATAGCCCTATTGTATTGGTATCACCGTTCAATTCGGCGTTTCCGCAAACACCGTAAACCAAATTTTATTAATTCTGGTGGGGGCCGGTAACGAACCGAACCGAAATATAAGAGCATTTATTTCAACTAATAGGCCTGTTTATAGAAGGTGACCATTCCAGCATATCCTAAAAGGCTGATATTCAGGACCTCTTAAATAAATGAAATAACGTGATACTTCATCAGCGATGTCTCAACAAGACCTAGAAGTTAAATGTGTTTTAGTCATAAGAAAAAAAAATCCCGTACTGTCGTCAGATTTGAACCTATGACCTATGAAGAAAATATACCTAAAATTTCTTTAAACAAAAAAAAGGAAGAATTACCCCCTTTCATAACATTTCTTTTAAAAAAAAGTGGGGAGGAGAGTTACCCCATGGACACTATAAATTAATTTTACAAATAAGAAAATGGCTATTCAATATTAGACTTATTTAAAACTCGTATATTTCTGCGACTAAGGCCACAAGAGTGGGAGAAATATCTGAGATATAAACAAATCAGTGTTCTCAAAATTCTACTGAAGTATATATATATAGGCCCTATATTAAATAATAACCTTACCATAGTCGATTCTGTACCGCTTTGGAAAGCAACATCGATCCTGGGCAGAGGCACAATACAAACAGCACACACTTATGAGCAACACGATAAATCTGGTGGAATCCATGTTGATGAATTGAATGCCGAACCCAAAATGCTAGGCCTACTAAGACTAGACAGATGAGTGAAAATCTTCAGAATCATAAGGGCGCTGGTCGAGCGCAGTTCCTGTCAAACCATATTATAAATTGACTTAACAGATGTGGTGAATGAAAAACAAAGACTTCGTATTAGAAGTGCCCTTGAAATCATGACGATGAAGATTAAAAGACAGACTGAAGAAGTTCAGAAAGTTATCTTAATTGTCTCCTGTGACCGATAAGACTAGGAGAATTATACAGCAGGCCGACTTAAATATTGAATCCCACGTACCTAAACCACAGGGATAATAACGTATCGATCGGCAATGATTGAGACTTAAGTGCCTGTAAATAATGGTGGTCGAAGCACCTATTACAAGTTTCATTACAGTGGACCACAACATCACAATTTGTTTTATAACCAAACCATCTCATGACTATAACTCTGTTGACAGTGTAAACCACACCAATTTCACGCTGATTTAATTAGTCAACACCATGTGAACACACTGACTCCTGTGTACACTCTGATATTTCTTTTGAAAGTTGGGTGGAGGCGACGGTAGATTTGGGATCGATGACTAAATAAGGGGCGCCAGGTTGCAAAAATATTTTACAGGGGTCCCAAGTCTCCTGGAAATCAGGACGGCCTCCCGCAATCTGCAAGGAAGCAAGAATCTCTCGGAAATTAGCCCACATTCCGCAAATTCAGAATATTTGCATGTTTTCACTACTTTATTAGCAATTGTCTCACGAAAATCTCCCCCCCGCCCCCATTATTCAAAATTTTAAAAAAAAATGGAGAGAAAAAGAAAATCATATTTAAAGTCTGAGTGCCATTTCCGGTCTGCTTTAATACTAAAATTTTCCTACCTCAGCCCCAACCATGGTGGGGCTCAGGTGGTATTGACCCTACATCTGTGAAATCCCTCCCTTCCCCCCACCCAATCCCCTATTGAGTTGCTCAAAATATATCGAAAGTGGTCCAGGGGGTGAAGCCCCATAAAAGTTTCAAAGGCTTATTTAATTTTAGAGTCTACTTGTACGTAGAAAATACAGTACATATAATTTTTTTTTTTCGAGCCGGCGAATTGTGTTTTTTTTTCCCTGATGGGAGACCTATATCCCCCTCCACCACACCACTGGCGCCACCCCTGCTCCCGGAATTGACTACTTCCGAATTGGGACCCTGAAATAAGGCGATAAGGTAATTTTAGAGGAGCGACTGAGAATGATATGCGGTTTTTTTTTGCTCGCTAGATACGCCCCTGCAAATGTCCTGGTCCTTATAACGTCCGGGATTTTGTCATCAAAAGGAAACACACTCCTGGACGTCTGCAAGTAAGCCGAAGTAGAAGAACTTAAGAAGCTGCATCCTCTTCCTTGGTCTTTGTTGCTACTCCCAATGGTCACGTGTTATCGTTTACGTTCACACTTGGGTATAACTCGACCATGTGACTGACAACTTTTGTAAGAGATTGACAGGTTTAGTATGCGATAACCTCTCCCTTTATCAAATCAAGTGTCATACTCTTGAAAGAATTATCATCTGGCTACAATTGTAAATTATAAATAATAATAATAATGTTATATTTATATAGCGCATATTGCACATTGCCCCAATGCGCTTTACAAAGAAATAATATAGGCCAACTGAGAAAATGCAAATAACAATAAAATTACAAATTATTAATTTGTCGTTTTTTTTTTTGTTTTTTTGTTTTGTTTTGTTTTTTGTAGGCCTATTGGATAATTCCTGATGATGACATAATTAATGTCGAAATATTGAATCCCAACACGATGGCGTGTATTTCAATACTTGGAGTATGTATTATACTTTCTTATCTGAGATTAATCAGTGGACCTTTCGGCATTATACTACCTATTGGATAAATAGTAGCTAATGTTGATATTTAATTAATTTTAATTTTTTATGTGCTTATTGAATTGTAAAGTTCAGACAGTAAATAACTAATTATACTTTCATCTAAAAATTGTAAATTATCATTAATAATAAGGGTATTTGGTTTTAACATATATTTTTATCATTTGATATTATTAACAAAGATAATGCAACATTATCTCAATTATGTAATTTATACTTTAAAAATTTTAATTTTAATAACAATGCATTAATCATTGGTGCATACAGACATCAAATTCAGAAATCATGAACGACAACATAGAAACACTCAAGGCCAATGGACCTTTTCGCTAAGCCCCGCCCCTTGGATATTGTTGCTCAGGTCCCATAAACCGAAGACGTACGTAAACATGTGCTTTGCAGGATATGCAAGTGTTCCTTGTCTGATTGGGTCAGTTGTTGAGTTTGATTGACACTCAGAAAGGGTCCATCGAAGCCGGGCACTCGCTCGTTGGCCACGATTCTATAGGGAACTACAGTGTTACGTCACGATACCACGTGATACTACTCCGTTGCTATCGTTGCAAAATACGTTCAACCCAACGCTAACAAACTATTGATCCCAATATCTAATGTAATTATTAAGATGTTGTATTTTACTTTTTCTTTGTAAATTTTAATTGATGATTAAATGTGTGTTCGATAATTAATATAATGCGAGCTTTTGTATTTTTAGTACATTTTGATGGTAAAATATTAGATTTTAAAATGCCTATTCCAGAAAGCCTATGGAGTCATTCAGGCGTAATGAACGGTAACCTACGTCTGTTGACAACAGAGAGCGCCACCTGGCGTCGTGACGACACGACTGCGGTACTCTATGGAGAACGCAACACCACGATGCGCGTGCAACGGATCGTTTTTAATGACGATCTGTTCAGATGGCAACCGACAATGCGCAGACGTCGCATCTCCTGGCGTTGTGCAGTGATGTCCGCCTTAACTGTCATATTTCATAATACACAATCCTTTTTATGTCAACAATAAGAAATCAAATGGTAATAATAATATTAATAACTTTATTTATTATCTATTCACAATTTATTTACAAGTTGCAAAATTCTAAAATAATTAGAACAAAAAATTACACATAATAATGTTTGCGATGTACTGGAAGGTAGTGTTTGCCTGATTTACATTAGAATAAATTTTGCTACTACTGTACCAGCTTATTTTATTTATTTAAACTACATCCAACAGTGGTAACGCCCATTACAGGACGTCTTTAAAATACACAAACAATATATAAATAAATAGTAAAATACAAGATAACATACAATATAAAACAAAGGTAACCAAAAAAAAATCGTTCCTAGAAGAGATATCAATAGTAGTATTGTTACGTGTAATAGATTTGCAGTGACAGGAGAGTCTGAATTTTCAATAAAACCGCTTTTGGTAACACTGACTCAGCTACAGGTCATAATAATATACAAAAGGAATAAATCGTTTATAGTAGAAATTGTGCACTTTTTGAGTTTGTAAAAATATTGGCCTAATAAGTATACACGCTTCCAATTTTAACAATGTTCAGTGCATTGTTTTCACAATAAATTTAGCCTCTGATAACTGCTGCACCGACAAAATCGATCTAGTGGTTTCTGAGATGGTTACGAAATGTATAAACAATTGCGTTTTTACACTCGGTTTTGGTCTGGAAAATACATACCGCACTTGGAAAAATGAAAGACAAAATTCATGAGTCATGCGTAATTGTTATTCTTTCCATTCACTTTTAAAAGTGGGGTTTTAGAAGATTGGTGAAAAGTGGGAAGGGGGACAATCGATATGATGTCCCCCTACTTTGAAAAGTGGAGGGGACGTGTCCCCTGTCCCCCACCGATCGATTCCCATGCGCACTCTCAACGAGCTTCAGAAAAGTGTTAAAATTTGCTAAAATGTCTGGCGGTGGCTGATACTACATTTTCAATTGGTCAGTTGTTGAGTTTGACACTCAGAAAGGGTCCATCAAAGCTGATCACATTATCACATACCCACTCTCAACGAGCTTCGGAAAAGTGTTAAAATTTGCTAAAATATCTGGCGGTGGCTGATACTACATTTTCAATTGGTCAGTTGTTGAAGACATTTTCAAACCCCTGGCGGTCAGAGTGTTAATAAAATACATAAATTTGGATTCAACATGTCAGATATGCAACTGTCCAACAAGTGTACCACTTCAACGCTCTAATAATTTTGTAATAAATAATGCGTCTTCATACATTTTCTTCATTCATTTCACAAAACTTCTGTATTACTATTCTTCAAAAATTCATGGTTGAAAGGACAGAATTCGAGTAGGATCTGAGAACTTGTAGGTAAGTATAAAGAAAACAGATGGAACAACGACGAGGATCAGTAACGGAAGATGAACTTTGAGATTCTCGAGCTCCGTAAATGATATAATACCATATGCATGGATCGTCCAATGGAGAAATAAAATCAAAATGTTCCTCTTTCCACGAAATATGTGCCAAAGTCTCTGAAAGATAAAAGAAATACATATAATAATACAATTTATATATATATATCTTAAGAATACCACAATAATTTTCAACCTCAATACCATATAGGCAAAGCCCAATGAATTTTATTATCAAAACTCAGTATACTATAAAACAAACATGTTTCGGCAAATCCTTCGCCATCTTCAGTGAAACGATTGCTAACATGCAATCTACTATTTAAAGGGAGTGAAAACTGTGAAGCATTGTATGAAAATTTATATCCAATTCCGCTTTCTTAGACATTAGCGACAATATCCGAGGGTAGGTGCTTAGCAGACAAGTCAATTTAACTGACGTGTCCGTCTGACCTCTATCAATTCATTGAATGCTGACATGACACAATATTTATTATTTTTCATGTATAGGTCTATCACAGTGTATCAGCAATACGATTATGGCATTTTAGAGTACCGTAACTCCTGAAATTAGCACTGCAGCGAATATACAATTTTTGTTTTGCGGCTTCAGTGCGGCAGTTTTCAAGAGCAGCGCTTAATGGAGCGCATCACTTGTTTAAGAGCGAGGCTTATTTAAAAAAATTTTGACATCGCACTTTTCATGCCCATTCCCAAGTTACCTACTGTATCTCACGCATTCCCGTAGTTCAGTTGGCCTATCATAGGCCCTACATCATTGTAAATAAACATTCATAAAAGATATGCTTTTGTCTTTAATGTGTTATTTATTTGTTTGTTTATATTTTGCTATTGGGTATGTACTCTCTATTAAGCACTGCAGCGGTAAGAATAAAATTATTTTGAATGAGCACTGCGACGCTTATTCAGGAGCGGCGCTTATTGGAGGATTTACGGTGAGGAACGATGTCAAAATCCCAACTACGGTAACAGCATCTGCGAAGCTACTGATGTTAATAGATGGTATAAGACATTTTTGTGCAAGGTTGTTGTTTTGTGGGTCTTTACTTAGAATACTGTATCAAAGAGAGGATAAGCAGAATGGTTCATTATGCTGAAAGATAATACAGAGAACGATAAAAATATACTCACAGTTTCCTGTTGTTTTAGAAAGTGCATCGCACTTGTAATGAGAGAAATCACAATCATTAGAAAAGGAAATGAGTAATCTGCAATTAAATTTTTAAAAAGATATAAAATGTGCTATAATAATTCTGAAATTCTGTTGACATCACAACAAAAAATGATATCAAATACAGTTACATAATCAAATTTTTAGTCAACCTATCGCCCTACAACGTAGGCAGTCCAAGCCTTTTACATGAATCAATAATAAAATTCAGCTTGTAATGTATTGCCAAGAGTGTTTTAGCCACAAATGATGATAATGCAGTTGATGTACTCGTAAACATTATCGTTTTCGTAAGGTTGCAAAATATCCCTAATCATAATAATAACATGCACAAGATAACTACCGTATCTTGCGTATAAGGCAACTCGTGTATAAGACGAACACAGAGTTTGAGAAGGTTTTTGGAATATTTATATATGTTGGTGTATTAAGACCACCCCACCCACATTTCAATAAAGGAATTCATTTTTTTTTTTTGCTCTTTATGACCTTGATGCTGCATCTACCTGGCTAAAAACAGATCCAAAATGTAGTGCTAATTTTCAAATAATGCCTTATAGGCTTTTAAATATTAATTAAAATCATATTTCCCAGTATCTAAAATTGTGGTTATTCATACCAACATTTAGTAGGTTCATTGCAGTAGTAAACTTGAATGTTACGGATGATTTGTAAATAAGACAAACATGATATCTAATATTCTTTGTATACTGCGCGTAGAAGACGACCCGGTCTTTTGATAGTAATTTCCTATTTTAAGCCTTGTCTTATACGAGAGTGTATACGGTAACATATATTTTTTTGTGTTTTTGTTAGGTTTTTAATCATTAATTATTATTAGGTTCTGATACATCAGTTAAAAAAAAATTAATGATACACTGTCTAGCTCTGAAGGTCTCAGAGATGATGACCGCTTGGTAAATCGTTACTCAGTAACAAAGCGGTATTACATGCCATGTGACATGCTGCAGCAATGCACTCTTGTGGAGTTACACATTGATTTATATATTACCACTGAGATGATACTTACAGATAAGTCCTGCGCATACAGCGTGAATGACGACCAAAATTGGCAAGAAGTAGAGGGCAGCATATATTGAATTTCTACCTTGGTTTTTACAAAACTTTACTGACAGAATCGGTCGAAATAGAACCATCAACACCCACTGATAGCCAAAGAATATGAACACCATACTGTACCTAAAAAGAAAGCAAACAAATGGATATCTCATTAATATCTACACTAACAAATAACTGGAGATTTAGCGCTCTTTGAGTTTGATATATTCATAGTGGGATTTTTAAAAATGACCTAGCCCTATAAACCTAAACTTACTCTATAAACTGAAACATGGTTGGCAGTTGGGAGTTCATCTACCATTTGTTCAGCTATTTTATTTCTTGCTGCTGGGTGTTTATCCACCCTCCCACCGGCAGCTGCTAAGACCACCAAATGGGGTTGCCAGAATCAGTGTCCAGTGGCTTGATCAGATGCAGTTTATAATGTTGTACCCATGAGCTGGGAGAACACTTTAGAGCATGGGGCCAGAACCATAAATAAACACTCCCCAGAAGACTTCAGGTGGCATTATGGTGTGACTGACAACAGCAGCTTGGCTGGTGGTAGATTTGTGATTGAGTATCTAGTAGGATATGGCATCTGCTGAATTACATGCATATGACTAAACCAGTGGTCATGCTAGTCATGGGGGAGGGAGGTCCAAGGGGACCCCTGCTATTGCAGTATATAAACATAAAAATATATAAACATACAGTGGATAAACAGCTTCTTGTGTGCAGTGAATCTTGTTTTTGTAGTCAGGTACTGGGTTGAAGAACATAGTGTACCAATCTGATAACCTTTTAACGTCACATGATTTGATTCTGAGATCACCTGAAAATGTTAAAAATGAAATTGAAGTTACAGCAAATTAAATCATTTCAATTCTATTTATGCGTACAAATGTCATCAAAGGGCAATATCTGCTTAGAATTACACAACAATGTATTATATACAAGAACAATATTATAGTGCATATAATAATAATAATTGTCAATTATATAGCACATACTGTCGAGACTTGTAAGCGCTTAGCATTATTACCCCTCCCCCGGTCAAGGGTTCAAGTACATATGGAACACATACTCAGGTCCCTTAGGAGAATTCCATAATGTCGTTGGTGTAAAAGGTCATTGTAAATGTGTGATAGCTCGTATATGCTCCTTCATCTCAAATTCAAGTTCAAGTTCTACATGAAATTCTTTTTCCAAGGTTGAACATACTGTACATATAAATAGACTTTAATATAAAAATAGTTAAAAAGTAGCTAAAATACAAGATACAATTGATTAGTTAATATAAAAAAATATATATAATATTACAGTACTTAAACATAGAATCTTATTTAATAAACTGATTGCAACTATCTCTTATGGCTTGCATTGTTAAGTCGGATTGCAGATGGGAGAAAAAAGTTGTTATGATAAGAGGTTTTCTTTAATGAGGGAATAATGCGACCTGATTTACTGAAGTTAATATATTTACATAGAGGGTGTGTATCGTCATCTAATATACATTATTTAATTTCTTGATTATGATATCAGAATAGATATTTTCCATTCTTGAACATCCAAACTTTATACCTTTCTAGCGTACTACTGTATTATGATCTTATGTACTTTACCTGCATTTTGCTTTGTTACGCTATTGTAGCAATACAATACAACAAAATGACTTAATCAATTGAATCATAGCCTGATGAAATGAAATAATGTACCGTACTACGACCTACATTAAAACATCTTAATTTTATTAGGAAGTAAAGTTTTTGGTTAGCTTCTCTATTCATCGGATAACATTAGACGATGACGAAATTATCTAGCTGAGGTTAGGTCATTCACCTGAGAAAGATCTTATGGCATATATTAGTACTAAAGAAAATTCATGTAAAATTCTTACCAACAGTTTCTACAGAGAGTAATGTGAATATGCCAGCTGCCACGCACTCAAGTAATGCGCACACATGAAGTGCAAAAACACTAAAAGTATATATAAAGATATAAAATAGTAATGAAAGTGAAATTTAGTTTTCAATATTCATTTTCTGTATTTTATCCAGTTTCTCTATAATCATCTGTTTCATTCGTTAATTAGTTATTTATTTATTTATTTTTTTTTTTTTTCTATTTATATTTCCTTTGTTACTTGTGTTATGTATTGATGGTCCCTAATGATCAGCTCCGGCTGGATGGACCAAACTCGTAAAATATTGTTGAAATAAATAAATAAATTAGGACACTTACTTGATTTCCTTTGAGAAGTGATCAATAAAGAAAAAATGCAGAATAAGTGTGAGGAGGAACATAAAACCCAGGTAAAGCCAGGCATACAGGACAGGTTCACCTAAACATGACTGACAGACTGAGTACTGGTCAGGTCGTTCACCTTTTGGACAAGCCTACAGAAAAACAAAATCAATTTTTATTATTATTTTTACTGCAATTATTGTTGCAATTACATACTTATTACTTACTAAATACTCCCTAGCTTACTTACTTGACATTCTGTATAAGTCAAATTGTTGGCTGTTGTTTCATTGAAGGTGATTCGTCCACAGTACAGTCCTGGGCAGGTTGCTGAAGATAGAGCATCACCAGAAACTGATGAAGGAAATCAGAGAAAATTATTTATATAGGAGAAAACTTGATAAGGATCAATAAAGACTGGTTTCCTAAAAATCACTACACTGTCGCTAAGTCACAAGGTGTTTGCAGTGCCATTGTTGTACTGCGTAGTTGTCCCTGACGCAATCAGGAAGGCTCCCCGATTCGACCAACCAATCAGCATCACCAAAAGCTGTGGGCAATTCGCGTGTAGCGATTGTATGAACATCAATGCCATGACAGAGATATTCCCATGCATTCCACAAAGTTCATCCAAAAAGGCATTAACGATGAATGGTTTCAAAGTGATAGGATATGAAAAGTGGAATGAGTATAACATTTGATTTTATGTATGTCAAATATTTTTACCTGAACAGTGTGTATGACAGGGACAGAATAATGTACATTGTTTAAGCTGCTGCACCAGTGGATTTGACTTTTAAAATTAGGCCTAGGAAGGTCTAGTTTTTGTTCATAGTTCATATATTATTGATCAATGCAATGCAAACTTTCATTGTAACCCATCTTCTGGTTTGACATTTAGTATTTTTTTCTTAGATGCACTGTACTACCTGTAGGATGATGCTTAATTGTTTTCAATATATACCTTATGTGCATAAGCGCACCTAGGCTAGGCCTAGTTACTTAGGCCCCTACCTAGGCCAATGTATTGCCTATCAGCTAAGTTTGAATGACAATGACGATTTTAGTAATAGTAGAAATTATATCCCAGGAAGTTTCAATAGGCCTAATAATTCAAGCGTACATAGGCATATGGCGTCAAAACAAGTGAAATTCGTCTTCTGACGAGAATAATGAAGAACAATTGAGTTTTATAATGAATTATTTCAGTAAGTCTACAAAGTTGTTTTAAGACAATAGTGGTAGTTTTTATAGTTAAGTTGGGTCTCTTTCTTTATCTAACAGACACGTTTTATCGCATGGTATAGGCCTAAATACTACTATTCATTTCTGAAAAAGTAACATTTTATAAGCCAAAGTGTCAACATAATATAATGGTGACTGCAGGTATATGTGAAATAATGGCTGTCACACTAGCTTTTTAGAATAATTATGTTGTTATTTGTCGGACTCGGATAGCCCAATAACATATGATTACACACCAAATTTACCATATTTAATCGAGGAGAGTTGGAATTATAATAAACAAATATTTGATTTTCGACGATTGCCACCATGGCACGATGGCTGTCTCTTATACACATCTAGATGTGTATAAGAAGAGGGTCTAGGCCTAGAGCCGTTTAGACGGGTCTAGCTAGAGGCCTAGACCAGACCTACCTAGTGCCCTCCTCCTAGGCCCCTAGGCCTATGCCTAGTATTCTAGGCCTATCTTTGTTTGTCGGCCGTGGTCATGCGTATTTCAAGCGTACTCACTAGGCGAAAATGGATCTATCATTGGGTCGAATGTACTTGCGGCTGGCTGGTAGAAAACAAGCAAAATACAGACTTTTGTCAATCCAGTATACTGAATAAACATGTTGTTCACCAATCAAAACGTCAATTATGCAACATATCTGACTCTTAAATATTAAATTACTAATAACATTAGCCTACGGACGAGTAGCAGCTAGGCTAGGCCTACATCGTACTTTTTGATGTTGTCGACCAGGTAATTGAGGGCGCCAGACTACTACTTATAATTAGTGAAATCAGGTCCCCCGTGACCATTTTTCGGGGCCAAGGTTTCTCTAGTGATTTAGCATCATCACTGGGGTGTAAATAAAAAGTTGAACAAGGGGAAACTCCAGAAAAGGGCGGCGGTGGAACACATTTTTTTGGCGCTCATTTTTAAAATGGCCGCCAAAATTCAGATATTGGCTCATAACTTTTACTTATATTGATTCCGATCCTTGCGGTGATCGTTTACGTAAGGTTGAGAAACCTCCCTATTTGACTCATAATCATGTACGTAGGCAATACTCTATCACCTTCAACTCTGCTTCTTCTTGCTGGACTTTCTTTAATAAATCCTTGTTTTCTTGACTGTGTTGTATTCACTTTTTGGAATTTGTTAAACTCTATATTTTGATCGAAACTGGTCTTGTAGTCATGTGTATTAAGTAGGCCTATGTCTATCGCTTTGAATGCCATTCCTTCCTATATTATGTGACGATCGATTCTTCTTTACGATATTTAACATATTATAATTGTTGTTGGTTTGGGAGTTAAGATGCAAAAAAATCTGCAGCAATCCTATGGAGATTCTATTTGCTCTAACAAACTCAATCCTAGAATAACTTAACAAGTTTGTTTATATACCGTACACTTATGACAAATCATTAAATGAGCCAACTACCTAGCATACAATTGATTAAACTTTTTATTAAGAACTCATTAATCACCAATAAACAATTGGTGGGAACTGGTTAAGTGTTATGCTGAGAGAAACACTGAGTGAAACCTGCCAAAAGATATTAGAACGCAGAACGTTAAAATGATTATTAACGGTCATCAAGTACAGTTATACAATTTGTTTACCTGAGCTGGGAATACACAAAATATACATACAAATTAAATAAAAATATTAAAAATAATATAAAGTGCCTAAAATAAAGTTGAGTTGTTAATTGTCAAAGAGATTATCGGTAGGCCTATATAGAGATGTGACTGATAGTGAATAGTAGAGATGAGAGTGATGTCAAAACAAGTGAAATTCGTCTTCTGACGAGAATAATGAAGAACAATTGAGTTTTATAATGAATTATTTCAGTAAGTCTACAAAGTTGTTTTAAGACAATAGTGGTAGTTTTTATAGTTAAGTTGGGTCTCTTTCTTTATCTAACAGACACGTTTTATCGCATGGTATAGGCCTAAATACTACTATTCATTTCTGAAAAAGTAACATTTTATAAGCCAAAGTGTCAACATAATATAATGGTGACTGCAGGTATATGTGAAATAATGGCTGTCACACTAGCTTTTTAGAATAATTATGTTGTTATTTGTCGGACTCGGATAGCCCAATAACATATGATTACACACCAAATTTACCATATTTAATCGAGGAGAGTTGGAATTATAATAAACAAATATTTGATTTTCGACGATTGCCACCATGGCACGATGGCCGCCATCTTGAATTTCAAAATGGCTGCCATATAAGCTGTTTGAAACCATCCTTATTGGATTCAGAGAGCACAATAACATATTTGATTAGACACCAAATTTACCATTTTAAAACTAGAAGTGGAATTACATACCAATATTTTCGATTTTCGATGGTTTTATTGCGGCCATTTTAAATTTCAAAATATCTGTCATTCTAGCTTTTTGAATTATGTTTATTGGCCTAAGAGTGACCAAAATATAATTAGGCCCAAGTTTACCATTTTTCATAGATGGGAAGTGGAATTATACTGAAATATTCGATTTCTGTTTATTTTTTCACAAAATGATTGCCATTCTAAGTTCTTAAAAACATGTCTCAGTGGATTCAGTGAGCCAAATAACATATACTTAGACACTAGATTAAATGCTTTTTCATTGAATATAAGTAAAGTTATGAGCCAATATCTGAATTTTGGCGGCCATTTTAAAAATGGCATCCAA